AAGAAACAGAGGCACGTCCAAAGAACCACAAGCCTTCAATTTTCAGTTGGTATGAAAAGCAATAAAAACTGTTCTGCTTTGACTTCCACCCAAGAAGATTACTTAATAAAATGTGGGAGAATTCTGAATCATATATTCTCACCTGTGAATGAGATTTTCTTTCTTGGCTCCATCATACATATTTCCTATAACGTAATGTGATAGAAAATATCTGTTGCAAAATCTTTAAGATATTTTTGGCTGGTCGACACTGAATTTTGCCTAGTCATTTTGGAGATTCACATTTGCTGCTTAGCATTTTCTAAAAAATTATATGTATCCAGCGTTCCACTGATATTCTTTCTCATTTCCTTGGAACTTTTTGTTGTGTTTGTATTTTTAACCTAGCCTCACTTATGACTCATTTCCAGTTGTCTCCTCGTTAAAAGTAAAAGAAATACATTGGATTTGGGAAATCTCCTGTTTTGATTTCTACTTGTTCTTCTCATATTTTTTAAAGTGGTGTCTGCCTTCCTATTTTTTAACCAATAATCAGTTTGCATAACTTAGAAATAAATAAATTTTAACATCAAGATCATGGCATTAAACTTTTGAGGATTATTTAAACAACTATGAAATAGGTAATTGTGTAGGTAGGAAATGGTGCAGATAATATTACATAGGCATTTCCTCTTTCTGGTTTATTAATTAAAATTATGTATGCTTATATCAGCAGAGAATTATAATATAATAGCTGACAGTAGCCACCGCCTGCTTAAAAAAATAGAACTTATTGGCAGCATTAAAATAAGAGGGTATTTTCTCATTTTACGTTGGATAAAAGGGAAGTCCCTATATTACTCTTTTGATGAATTACATTTATCTTAATAGAACATTTTCCCTTAAGCCTGAAAGCTATTTTATAATGCTTTATGCTTAATTTTTAAAAAGAGATACAGACGAAAATCTCTTTGCATTCCATCTGAAGAGATGGCTGTCAGAAAAGACGTGAAGCCTTCAAGAGCCTACAGAGGTAGAGTTGATGAAAACTGCACAGATTCCAAAGTGTTGCAAGACTGATGTGTGGGCAGGAATTAGACTTTCAACAGCATCGTTGAAGGAAAAACCAATATCCAACAGACAAATAATTTTGTGTGGTAAATCAGATTTACAGATATTAGGTAAGATTTACAAAATCAGAAATAGAAATAAAACTTTCAGTCTAAGGCACTAGCCTTTCTAACATCTGAGTTTCTTTTCCCTTTCAGAGATACAATGATTTGTTGAGAGTAGTAACAAGACAAAACAAACAGCAAAGTAGATGACATTGGGATTTGAGAAATGACATCGACATAATCAGATTATTTATTTTTCTTGGCAATTACAATCACTAATCATACTTCCTCATATAGAGAGAAAACAGAGGCTCACACTTTAGATAACTTGCCTTAGATCACAAAGTGACAAGTGAATTTAAATCTATCACCACACTTTCGGAAGACGTTGGTCAATTATCTGCATCAATGTAAAGGCATTAAGCATTTAGGAGATTTTGTTGTCTGAAAACCTCTGGGGAAAAAAAAGGATTATCTAGGGACTAGAAAATGTGTTCCAAGAAGGCATGGAAACATGTCACATACTCTGATAGAAATACATTTTGCCATAGCAGAATTGTGTAAACAAGGCTGATTATTCCTTTTCCCACTCTGGGAAGCAAACTATTTACTCTGGTAGTCGGAGGTGACCCACTAAGTTCAAGCACACATTTCTAATAATGTCAGAAAATTCAGTACTGCAGAAAGATAACATTTTAGTGGCAGTGTTTCTACCCACACTTCAGAATAAATTAAGTACTAATGTCATCAATAAACTATAAAAGACATCGTTAATGATAAAAACTTTTACTAACTCTTCTCTAAGAAACAGATATGAACAAGTAACTCCACTTAAATATCTCTGTTCTGGTATTTTCCAAGCCCTTTTCTTCCGTTATTCATTTTGCTTCACTTTGGTCTCATAATGGTTGCCAATAAAATTGTTTTATTCTCTTGTATTAAGTCTCATATTATGACTGGTTGAACTTTCTTGGATTTTGTGTGAACTTCTAAGGAAAGTTGTTTCTCCCAGAAAGATTCCCTGTAGATTTGGTTACCTTTATGTGACTATTTCTTCTCTATGATGTCTTTTTTTGCTACCACAGAAAAAGGGGGAGTTCTCTATACTCCTTTTGGTGCAGGGACTTCCCTCTCAGGTCAATTCTGAAAACAAATTTCTTATGGAAAGATATATGGAGAAAGAATATTTCCTTTCTTCTTCTGTATTAGCAGCACATACTCCTGTAGCCTCTCCTAATGGCAACTTTTCACAGAAAAGAGTGTCACACTCCTATTTCAAGGTAAGTCTGATGGGCAGTCTAAACAGCAGGTGCAAATAAAGAACATCAGTCTTCCAAATTTTATGACTTGAAGTCCAATGTACAAAATGATTAAATGGGGCTAACACCCATTCAGAAGCAGTGTATAAAGGCTTTACCCATTGTTTTTCTGGAATGAAAGAGAAAAGAGCCTCAGGGTTGGCTCATTAATACTGAAACTAAATAGAACCTCTGCTTCCCATAAATGGAGGTATCTCACCATGCGTATATGTATGCCTGTGTGTGTGTGTAACAGAGTCCCTCTCTTGGGTAGAATGGCTTTGTAATGACTCAATCCACAAGAAGAGGAATGTAAGATGTCAGAATTATATTCCTCTTTATGATGCCAAGATTGTTATGAAATAGAGTGTATATGATTCTATTTTAACTCTGCCTCTCTCTAGGGTAATCTCAGTGAATCAAACTTATAATTGCTCTGAAATAGAAGAGAAATAAGCTTTAAAAAACTCACAATTTATCCCCCATCCATAGAGTGATTTAAGATAGTTCCTTGTGCCATCCTAAGTATAAAATATTTCAGTTTACATTTTATTTATGGAACTATAAGTATGCTAACAATTTTCTTTGCATAAAACAGATGTGTTTTGAGGAAAATATATATTTCCCATGTGCCCATTTATAGATGCATGGTTTCTCTTGGGAGTTGAAAATATTTTCGTTTTTTTTTTTTTTTGCTCTCAAATCCCTTTAGAGGTAATTATCTGCTTGCAGTTCTTATTTTGTTTTATAATGAAATAGAATCATATGATAGCAGTTACTAGCTCAGTTAAGGTCCTTGGCTTCTCAACTTGAATCTATGTTACTAACAAGTAGGTTTTTTGGCTTCACTTTTTTTCTTCTGATAAAACAGTTTCGCAGAATTAAATGTTAGCATATTTCAGGATTGAAACTCTATATGTCTGTTTTAATCATATATACACACAATCATTTATATGTGCAATCAACTAAACTATATGCATATAGAAAAATGAATAGAAATATCTTCCTTTCTCTTAACAATGTTTTGTATCTTTATTACCAAAAAATATGAATCTTATATAGACTTCTATAAGCCATCTCAAATTATTTACAGCCTTTTGAGACATGATAAATTATAAGCATATGAACTCCAGTATATATTTCAATTATATATGTGTTTGTAGATAGATAGATATGTAGATAGATGATTGATATAGATAGATAGACAGATAATCTCCAAGTCAACTTGAAGAATTTTAATTATCTGCCTATTCAGAACTGGAAATGACAGGAAAAGAAGACAGGAAATAGTGTCAACTTAGTGCTTTCATTTTTCCATTGGGAATTTTTTTCTGATTTGATCAGATACAAAGTATTGCGGCCATCCTGTTAGGATTTGCACACAGCAGCTTTCTTGCTCACTCCGGACTGCAGACAGGGTTTCTCACTGGCTTCCAGCTGCTTGTCCTAGGACTAAACCTGCTTGAGAACGATCTTCTCTCTAAAGAAGGAGTGCACGGAGAAGGAGTGCATGGAGTCTCTTAGGATGGGGCAGAGAGCTACCCTTCCAGTGACCCACACCCAGCCCTAATTGTCCTTTATTTTGGATGGGCTCCAACTCTGAATTTCCCATTTACAATGAGAAACTCAGCTGCTCAAGCTCGTTGCTGGCATTCTTCTGTCCTTGTTTTCCTTCAATACCCCCGACCCTGCCTCATTTTCCTTCTTCCTTTTTCTCTTCTTTCTCCCTCTCCCCGAAAAAAGATGTCTTGAGTGCTTTGCACATAATCAGTGAGATATGCCATCCCCCTCTTTTGCTCTCCCCTCCAAGCCCCAGAGATACCCCTATTCAGCCAATCAGATTGGATAGCCAAAGATATAGAAAAAGGAATCATAGGAAACTAACATATAACTTCAATCATAGGAAACTAACATATTTTCCTTCATGATTGCAAAACCGCAGCAGCTGTTAACTCTTCTGAGAGAGGAGAGTGGGAGCTACCAGTCTCAGGCTCCTTGTAGAAAGAAGAGCTAAATCAGTTAAGGGCAAAATGGTGAAAAGGCTTAAGATCCTGCTGGAACAGTGAGATTTCAACGCTTCTGTTTTTCTGTGCTTTAGGAGATATTCATTTTGTTCTACAGAAATCTTTAGAAATGTCGTTCTCCCCAGGCCTGAATTACCCCAAACCTGTCATTCCATAGAGAGAGATCCTAAATAGTTTGTTTCAGGAAATGACTAGCCAAAGCTATCTGTATGCTGAGCTCCCCACAAAACACTCTGTCTTCCTATCTGCACTCAGCTTACACAGAAGATAAAGGGCTTTATTTCTTTGTAGAGTTTGGTATTTGGGAAATTGTACCCTATTGTACTAAGAGGGGGTCCGCAGGTAATGAATGTAGCAGTTAAGTTGGTCCTAGGGAGTGGAATGAGTCTTGTTTTCTGCTCACAAATAAGGCAAGCTTTATGTGGATTGCAGAATCCCAGAAACCCAGAAGGAGAACATAAATGCTGGCATTACCTTCTGATTTCAGCCATGTGAGACTGTCTATTGAACAAGATTGGACATGAACAAAGCCAGTCTATTCTCAGCTTGCCAGCTGCAGCTCAGCTTTTGGGTGAAATGAGGTATTTATTTGCTCTCTTCTTCTCTCCTTGTAGAGGCTCCTTTCATATGAATCACGTGTGTGAAGCTCCTTGTGCCATTTAAAATTCTTTCTGTTAGTTCCATTCTATCTACATCTGAAGGAATATTCAATGGAAAGATTTGGGGTAGAGTGTGGAGCGGAATGTTTGAGATTACGTATAAACTCATCACTGGATTTTGAGACAGGCTAAGTCTCCACTACAGATAACAAACTTGTCTTAAAGGTAAGCAATCTCTTTTTCAGGAGTTTATCAACTGCTTCTTGGCCTTTTGGCTAAGATCAGGTCTGCATCTGCTACAGACATTCATATTGTAGTTTAAGTAATATTTCTTCATGGACAGATGAAGGACCTACTTTTGATAAAATTCATAAGTCATAATAATCTGAAAGATATCCCTTTTCTCTACCCACCCTACACACCAGTGATTTTTTAAATCTCACTCCCAATGCCCAGCAAATACATCAGGAACTCTGAGGATGAAATCCAGGAATATTTTTAAAGCACCCTATAAGTTTCCAATGTGCAATATACATATATATATATATATATTTATTTAATATAAATAATACATATTTATTATTATTTATTATAAATATCTATTTCAAATTTATTTAATCCATTTAATATATAAAATATATACCCTGTCTCTACATATATATCTATAATGTATGTAACATATACATATATAATATATATAAAGTATAAATATATTGAGATATATACTATATATTGCATATATGTTTAGATATATAAATAGATTTATACTTTGTATTTTTATAATTTATATATGTATACATCATTTTTTATTATACTTTAAGTTACGGGGCGCATGTGCAGATTGTGCAGGTATGTTACATATGTATACGTGTGTCATTGTTGTTCGCTGCATCCATCCCTCGTCATCTACTTAGGTATTCCTACTAATGTTAGCCCCCAATCCCTCCACCCTTGTTATTCCTCTTCTCACCCCACCCATCCCGCAACAGACCCCAGTGTGTGATGTTCCCCTCCCTGTGCCCATGTGTTCTCATTGTTCAACACCTGCTTATGAGTGAGAACATGCAGTGTTTGGTTTTCTGTCCATGTGTCAGTTTGCTGAGAATGATGGTTTCCAGCTTCATCCATGTCCCTGCAAAGGACATGAACTCATCCTTTTTTATGGCTGCATACTATTCCATGGTGTATATGTGCCCCATTTTCTTGATCCAGTCTCTCATTGATGAGCATTTGGGTTGGTTCCATATATTACATATATATATATAAGTGCTTCATATATAAAATAAGTAGAGACAGGATCTTGCCCTGTCACTCAGGCTGGAGTGCAGTGATGCAATCATATCTCCTTGCAATCTCAAATTCAGCCGTGGGCTTAGGCAATTCTCCTGCCTCAGCCTCCTGTGTAGCCAAAAATACAGACTTGCCCCATTATGCCTAGCTAATTTTTAGATTTTTTACAGAGGAAGGGTCTTGCTATGTTTCCCATCCTGGTCTTAAACTCCTGGTCTCTGCCTCCCAAAGTGTAGGGATTATAGATGTGAACAACCCTTCCCAGTTAATTTGAGAAATATTGTATTAAGAAATTTTAGGCATTTGTGGTTACATGTGGGTTATATTGTGAGAGGAGACAGAAAATTTGCCAAAGGAGTAGAACTCACAATATTTCAGCAAGGGTCTACTCCATTTAGAATAAAGTCAATATCTTTGCCTTGATGGAAGCTAGCACCTTATTAAATTCTCCACATTTTTAGAATCTTGTTCTTGTCCTTGCTGGACTAGAAACTGGACTTCGTAAGTACTGTGTAATAGTAGGACTAATATTTCAGGGTATTAATGTGTGATTAGTGTGTCAATGGACATTTCTATTGGCAAATATGTTTATATCCCCTATGCTAGACTTGTCAAATATGAAGTTACCCCATAGTGGGAAGATACTCTTCCATAAATGCTTATCCAAGAAATGTAAAGGCTTGATAGTTCCCTGCTGTCTCCTCTAGAGGAAAATGTTCTCTAAGGTCTAAGTTTCTTGTGACTGCCTTATCTTTTTCCTTGGAATGTTGGGGTAAATGCTTCCAGTTTTCCCTGTGGAAGGCATATCAATTACTGTGTTCTTGCTCACATAACATCTTAGGGACTCGGCCTCATATAATCACCCTGAAAGAACCCATTATGACAGCTTCATGTACTTGGTGAGCTGACCCAAGAGAAAACAATCAGACTGTCTTTCCTGGGAATCAGAAACTGGGCTAGTGAGTGACGTACAATCAGCGACATGACAATGACCAAAATATTCATTTTTTGTTAGAGTCAGTGACCGTAAAAATAAAAATGCAAAATCTACTGATGTTTAGAGCAGTTCACTGAGAATGGAGAAAGCATATATAAGTAGAAAACGCTGATCTTCACAGAAAAGTGATAAAGTGTTGTGCAGGGAAAAGTAGATGCAAGATGCAGTATACCCCAGTGAATGATGCAGGTTGCATCCAGATCTGGACCCTTCCATTTATTTTGTCGGCTTCTATAAGATGATGTATTGTGGCTTATCAGCCACCTCCCTTATATTCTGACCATGTTTTTGTGGCATTCTGTTTCCAGCAACTAAAAGGTATTGATAAAAACATCATCTTTCAATGCCTGCTTTTCTCATCCTGAAAATGATTGTGTTAGTTTCCAAGGGTTGCTGTAGCAAAGTGCTATGAACTTTGTGGCTTATAACAACAGACGGTTATTCTCACACTTATGGAGCCTAGACATCCAAAACCGTGTTTTCAACAGAGCCATGCTCCCATGAAGCTCTAGAGAGGAGTCTTTCCTTGCCTTGAAGCTCTAGAGAGAAGTCTTTCCTTGCCTTGTCTAGCTTCCAGTGGTTGCAAACAATCCTTGGCATTCCTTAACTAGTAGATGTATTACTCTATTCTCTGTCTCTGTGTTCACTTGATGCTCTCCCTAATGATTGTGTGCACGCGTGTGTGTGTGTGTGTGTGTGTGTGTGTGTGTGTACGTGCATGTCTTTTTTCTCTTCTTATAAAGACATCAGACACTGGATTAGGGCCCACCCTAATCCAGCATGAACCCATCTTAACTAGTTATACCTGCAGCAACTTTCTTTCTAAATAATGTTACATCTGTAACAACTTTATTTCTAAATAAAGTCACATTATGAGGTTTAGGGTGCACATGACTTTCGAGGCACACTCTTCAGCTCACTATAATGATATAATCTACAAAACAGTTCTTTCTTGAACCCAAGCAACATTTTGTTCCAAGAGGCCTCCTCGCAGGGTGTCCATATTGAAAAATGATGTGACTCCAAGACATGTTCATTTACATCACTCTAGTAAGCTAGAGGAAAAGGCATTTGAGGATGAAGACAAAACAGTGGTTAGTTTCTACTTGTGTCCAAGAGCATAACATAGAACTCCTAGATCTTAGATATTAATGATCACAAAAATAAGATAAATATTGTAATGTTATACCCAAGCAAGTTTAAACAGATGAGCCATGCTCTGAGTTTGCTGAGAGTCTGCTTTTATGCTGGCTTCCAAGAGTCAGCTAGCGCTCAAATCTCTTGGCCGAGAACAAAGGGTAGTCAACACTTTTATGTCAATTTAGGGTCAAGTGGCAGTAAGCAGATTATTACAGAAGCAGAAGGAGCAGGTTAGGGGAAGGGTGGGGATGCCTAAAAACAAAATTCTGTTTAAAGTTGTTTTGCACTCAGGATGTGGGGTAGGCAGTGACACAGTTGCAGGTACAGGATGTATGGGCCAGTGAGTCCTGTTTCTCAGAAAATTGGTTACAAAGATGCCAGGTGTCTCAGGCTACAAAGTTCTCTGAACAGATTGCCCTACATAGCTCAGGGTGGGCAAAATGGAGTCGGCAGGATTGTTTAAAATGTATTCACCACAGCCAAGCCAGGGTATTTCAGTAAGATCTTCTCAGAGGTTGCAAACAGGTGAACCTACAGTCGTACAGCATCTAGGAAACCCATATATTTTCTTCCATAGAGCAGAATTTAATCAGATGGTGATGTACTTGCAGGAACACCTTCCATCTCACTGTCTGTTTCTCTCGATATTCAAATTCTTCCTTGGATGTGTCACTGTTCATAGACCTTCTTGGACACAGAGGGCAAGGAGTAAATTTCTACTCTCAGTGTTTAGACAAGACTTTCTTGCTGTCACAAGCAAGGTGCTATATTCCATTGTTGGCAGCCTCTAGCTGTTTCTGTGTGGATGACCTACCAATTCTCCATCTACATAAATCTCAAGAATCATATAACTAAAGGGAAATGTAAGCAGAATGAAGTTTCTTTTTTGGGCCCATTATCTTGTGTAATACCCATACCATTAAGCTGTACTGGTATTAGGCTTATAATCTGGTGATAATATGTTCTTCTATAACAATGATCTTTTCTGATATACCCAGTTAGACCATTTGTCTTTTAAATGCCTTTCAGCATTTTGTCAAACCCTGAGATCTCATTAAACATTCATTGACTTGCTGATTGACAGACAGAAAGAGGAAGACTCATAGGTCACTAAGCATAGGAACTTAATCAGGTTCTTCAAATATCCACAAATCCATGCTTTATAGGTGCCAAAAGCAATACTGAATGAACAGGAAAGGATGTGGGTTCCAACCTTTCTTCTACTGAACCATGTGACTTACAGCAAATCAATTAAAGTCCTGATTCAGTCGCTTTGTGTGGTAACATGTACCACAATAGAATATAATGAAATATAATAAAATACAGTAACTTATCTACTAAAAACTGGTAATAGCTACCCGGTATTAATGTATAATAAGTAGTGATTGCACTAGGCATATGTACCAAAAATATTGCATTTAATCTTCAAATATAGAAATATTTCAAGTAATCCTTAGGTTAGATGTTATTGTTAACATATTGAAGATGATAAAACTGGAATTTGTGTAAGTTGAGCAGCTTGTCTAAAGTGAACGAGGCAATAATTGCTCATCCAGGGTTTGAACATAGCTCTGGACTCTAAGACTTATTCTCCTTTGGCTTGTGATGCTTCTTTACAGAGGCTAGGTTACATGATCTCCTGAGGCCCTTTCTAGTCACATCTACTATAATCCTGCATGTTAGGTGGTACAGCAAAGAGGGTTGACTTTTGCTGCATGCCTGGTAAAACACTGTAATGAGCACAGACTGTTTTAATTATCACTGTCTTCTCTGAGAACATGAACCCCCTGGATACAGC